CAAAGGTCGATAGGGCGTGTCAGTCACGTCCAGTCAGCGTCAGAACTTCGTGCAACAGCAGTCAAGCAGCCAGCGCCTGGCGTTCTGCGCCTTGATCGGACTGACTGTGCTGTCCGCACTGCAGATTTGCTTGCGTTCTTCTGTTGGGCTGTCACGATACTACAGAATCAAGCAAACTACTGACAAGGATATGGCTGTGGCCGCTGCAATGGCTCGGACGCTGTGCTTGCGTTCGCCACAGGAGCCTGCACAAGCTAAGGGGGCGTTACTGACTGCCTTATCACGATGTGGTACTCGCAAGCTGTGCAGTTCAAAGCTCACCAAATCTCACCAATGAAGTCCCCAATTTCCTGCTCACTGACCAAGCCTGCTGTGGACGAGCTGTCTTCTGAAATGCCTTGGCTGCACGCTGAGGCCAAACCCCAATGTACCCGGACAGTGGTGGACCAAGACAGTGACCTGCAAAATGGGACATCCGTCCACTGCCCTGGTCCTCTTCATGCTCTCCATGTCCCAGTTGCCGGGATCTGCCCAAGCAGGGATGGACAGGTGAGGCGATGCCCTGGGCGACGGAAAATGCCTGAACGGACCGCCGAAAATAAACTGAAGGCGACGGACGGAAAGGCTTAGGGCAGACTTCGTTGAAACGCCTAATAAAGCAGCCAAAGCCTGCAGAATTCAATCTAGGAGCTCTGTGGAGACGCGGGCCGAAGTTGATGGTGTAGCCGTCTGACTGCCTTCCGAGGACAAGCCGACATGGATCTGACAGACATCTGTGTTTAGCCAGACGACGGACAATGCCTGCTGCGGGGGGCGAGCCAGGCAGCATCTCGCCTGTTGCTGCAACCACTGACATTGAAGGAAAGAGAAATCTCGTTCCGACAAAAATACTTGGACGAGCAGAACTGTTTGGCGTTATCTTGTTGCTCCTTACTGTGAACTTGAACTCACGCCACCAGCAACTTGAACACGTCATCACAAAGCAAGTGCTGATGATCAGCATGGCCTTCTGCCAAAGCATGAGCTTGAGGCTCCTCGAGCTAAGACATCCCAGGCACTCTCACGCAGCAATGTAGACGACCAACCACGATTTTCTACGCCATCCCAAAACATTCTCCTGGCCAATGCTCGCCTCCGGAAGGACTACCTTGTCAGGCCGCCTTAGGAAAACATGGATGCCTTGACAGCCTTTTGGAGTCAACCTGCATTTGGCCGGGTACATGCCTTGCAGACCATGAACTCAGCAGCATTATCACTTCTGACACCAGAGGCCCAGGCTGGAGGAGTTCGACTTCGCCACCTGAAGGATTCACAAAACCACCACTCTGAACGAGAACCACTTCAAGCATGTTTGTTTTGATGGGCTGAACAGTGGAAATCATCATGGTGCAGCGAGGCCATACAGCATGCATTCCACATAGAGGGCTACCCCGAACTACTCAGTCGACAGCCACTAAGTGCCAGAAATCTGCGCATGTGCCAGATAAAAGTTGACTGCTAGCCTTTGCAGCACGGAGGAGCGGTAAGAAAGGCCAAAGATTTTCTATGCTGACATAGGCATGGACATCCATTAGCTTGTCGTAGGCCAACTGCAGAGTGTTCGCTCAAGGGCTGCTGGCCTACATTTTCCTCCGAAGTGTACAACTACTCGGAGTAGCCGAGCCTGGACGCCCACCTCTGCGCCCTGCCGGCCGGAAGAAGGCGCTATCGGCCAGACCTCACTCTCTGGCAGGGGCAGGACATCAAATGTCAGTCATTTGCATCATCAGCCTGGACCGTCGCCGCTGGATGAGACAGGGCTTCTAAGAGTCACATCTCTTAGGAATAGTTGTGAGGCGCTACGCGACCTTCAGCGCACTTGAGCTGCAGCAAGAAACACGTTTATGTCCACACCAATGCTGACAAAGCTCCTCCAGTCACGGTAACCTTAGCGCTCGGATCTGATCCTGGGCCCACACTACACGCGTACATAGTTGACTTCCTGACCTCAAGGCCCTGCGTTGTCAAGGTTGGAAGTTGGCATTCAGCTTTGACTTTTTATGTCGATTGGCTTGCGCAAATCGTGCTCCGCGAATGCTACAGGCTGTTCCCTAAAGGATATCTTTAAACAAAATGCCTCGCGTGTGCGCAAATTCTTTGCGTGATGACCTCAGCAATTCGCCGAAGAGCATGGTTGCAAGAGTGCGCACAAATATGCTAGCAGCAGGTACTGCGAAAAGAACGAGAACGAACTTGGTCTGAAGGCAACCACTTGTGAGGCAGGGGTCCTGTCGGTCCGGTTCGCCTGGACACTTCACCTGCACAGGGCCAAGCTGATCATGTTTGCCCAGGGTTCTCAACAACGACAGTACTGCTGTGGATTTCCTAGTTTGGACAGCATTTTAGTGGCTAGGAGAACGCAACATCGCAAAGTTAAGCCAGCTGCTGGATGTCAAGCTCTGAAGCCTACACATCTTACCCTGACACACCGTCCAGCTGTCTCTGCACTTTCCGGCCCAGCCTTCTGACGTGGGTGTCTTGAGCGACTGGTCAGGTAAGCCCAATGGCAAGGTGCCTGAGAGATCACACGGCTAACAACACCGTGACGTCACAGGCCCTTTCTCGAAGGCTCCGTCAGAGAGCATGCTTCTGATCTAAAATCATCCAGTCACCTTTGTGCTAAACTTCGACACGGCATTAATGTGGCCACATTCTTCGAGGACTGCAGGCACCAAGCAGGCAGAGAGTGGCAGGAGGGAGAGGCAGAGGGAGGAGGGAGAGGAGCGGAGGATTGAGAGGAGATGCTTTGCATCACCCACGGCCATGACTTGCCATCCGTGCTGCGCGAATCTTCGTGCCAAGCATTCCTGGATGCAGCGCTCGGTTCCATCAGTGGATCTGCTGCCACATCCTCCTGACATAGGGAGCCCCGCTTTCCTTACAACCTTGAAGCTTTTATTTTTGCTTTGTATTGATTCATGCCTATGGCACTGCCCATCCTCGGCCACTGCCGGCATGGCTCCGATGCCAAGATGCCCCGGCTGCATACTATGCTCCTGGGCATGTCAGCCAGCGCAGCTGGTCTCAAGGAAGCTCTGGTTGGGAGCATCTGGATGCAAGGAATCGGGACAAGAATGAAATGCACTCCAGGCTTGCCACGCGCCATGTCCCAAACTTTCCCAAAAAAATGCTTTAGTAACTTGTAACACCTTGGCAAGCTGCTTTTAATTTATTGTTCAAGCAGAGCTGCACGCAAGTGGCCGCGGTCTGGCGGGAAGAATCCCCAGGATGCTGCCTTGAGCAATATTTCACTATCTCACATGCTCCGTGTTGCTGAGGCACAAGCGCGGCCAAGTCACATAGGCTTCCGGCACTTTGGCCAGAGGTGACGATGATCCTGGTGACGCAGCGGGGGTTACCGAGATCTCCGGCGATGGGCACTGCGGTATCCTCCTGGCCTTGCGGCGCTCAAACAAAGGCAGCGCAAAATCACTGCTGGAGTTTGCCTGTTTTGCCTCGTGACTTCGACAATGGTCGAGTTAAGTTTGTTCAAAGTTGCAGTTTCTGTGCCACACTGCCGCTCAAAATGGAGTATGGAATCAACCATTGTTCTTTTTCATGTGCGGTCCCCTGGCAGGGTGTTCACGGGTCGGATAAGTATCCAACCCGTTCTCATGCCTTTTCGCATTGAAACAGTCCGGTGATGTTCGTGGTGATGACAATGATGGTGATGATGCGGCAGTCGGGGTTGCGCGCCCGCAGGGGGAGTGGGCATCGCAAACTCGCAGAGTTGAGATTGGTTTTACTTACCAGCCTTACTAGTCGAACCAAGGCTGCTACTAAAGTCTTGATTGCTAAGCCTAGAAGCTTGCTACTTTTTCATAATGATTGGGCTCAAGACATGATGCCTTGCCCAATCAACAGTTTGCCTGACAAGGGGCGACAGCTGTTGGGGAGGCGCTAAACCGGGCCACCAAGAAGAACAGCTTGATCGACCTTGCACTGTCATCAGACTTACGCTCACTAATCATGCATGACCCAAATCACCTAGGGGTGAAGACATGTGAAGACGAAATCCGGACTCAACCTTGCCACAGAGACACAACATCGCGAGCGCCACCAGAACCATGTGTCCTTCCATTGAACATATTTCCTCTGGAAAAAGCCTTTCGCAACATTGCACCTCAAAAATTCACAACGATTCCGTGATCCCGAGAAAACTAGTCACTGCCCTAGCTCTCGAGCAAATGTCCGCCCCTTGCTTCCAAGCACTTGATGACTATCTCCTGCCAGTACGAGCAGGAGACCCGAGATGCAATGAGCAACCAGGGAAGCTATCATCGCGTTGCGGAGCCTGTCGCACCAAATCAGCGGCATGCAAGCAGCAACATCCTCTGGGAGGCAGCAGTGCTTGTACTTTTGACCCCTCTCTCTGCCAAGTGGCTCGGGGAGGCCAATATCGCTGACACCTCCGACATGCGCGCATGCACACTGGCATCCAACTTGCATAGCCTCTTGCAATCCAAATCAATAACACCTCCTGCGCCGACCTAAGCAAAACAGGCTTTGTCGTCAGAGGCCTGCGACTTCAAGGCACTCGGACACCTTGATCCTCAGCGTCTCCAGAACCATCGGCCTTACTAAAGCTAGCTTGTTCGAGAACAGTTAAAGAATACGTGGGAACCGGACCTGGATCTCTGAGCACGAGGAGATGGCTCTTCCCTTGGCAGCCGGCCCTGCAAGTTTGCATGGCACAAAGCTTATGTACCAGCAATGGGCGCAGGGAATGAAGTTGACATGGCAACATGGACGTCGGAAGAGGGCGTCAATGGCAACACAGCCGGGGCATCTAGTTTCAGCTAATGGCAGCGGTATGGCTGAGTCCATTATTGCAAAGCTGAGCTTCTCGGTGGGCCTAGTACCTCCTCAGGAGGCTCAGTCCCACTGCAGCTCCAATGAAGCACGAAAACAGAAGCGCCACGATTACTTCTGAAGTGGCTGATACTACGTTACTTCGCCGATCAGTGCTGGCTCTGCTGGCCGCGCCAGGCACGCCACTCAGCAAGAACCTTGGGCTTCAGCTTGCGAAAGGCTGCACCACGGTAGTCTAAGCCCTCTGTATCCCATTCGCGCTCGATCAGTGCACGGAGACTTGCAGACCATCGATGCAGCTCTACTTCGGCTCTTGGTTCAGATTCCACTTGTCTTGAAGCCCACCTTTGGCAAGCTTGCAGCAGTGCCTCTTTCCGGTCAGCTTCCCTTGCAAGCTTGCGCGAGCAAGCCTGTTCCAGATCGCGGAGTAAGTCGCGCAACCCATCAGTGAAGTCCTCCTCCTGGCTGTGCAAAGCCCCACCTTCCGGCAAAAGATGCGAGAAACTGATCTCGGCAGAGGCAGGTCCTACCTTCGCCGCGTCTCTTCGCCGCAAGCGCCGGCACAGGCAACTACAGAATACACAACTGCAGACAGAAGCGCTGGCCACCCATGCAACCGGAGAATAATCGACAACATCAGGCACGTCTGGCCCAGGAAGCACTATTTCTTGTCTGGTCTCGGCCGAGGTCAACGCGGAGCTGGAGGTTGACGTAATACTCCGCGTTGTCGACTGGCTGGTTGATAGGTGTGTAGATGAGATGGTGCTGGTGGTTGATTTTGTTGTCACCAAGGAAGTACTGCTGTGAGATGAACTGGATGAAGTCGTGGAGGATGACTTGCTGCTGGACGTGGATGAGCTTACAGAAACTGTTGATGTGCTGCTTTCGGACGAGCTTGACGAACTCGAGGAGGACTGGCTGATCGACGTGGTTGAGCTTGTAGAAAATGAGGTCGTTGTGCTTGATGTTTGGGTGCTTGAAGTTCGTGTCTGTGTGAGGGTTGAAGAGGATGACACGCTAGTTGACGTGCTCGAGGTTGCTGTCAGGGTTGACGATGTCATTGTCAGTGTTGACGTCTGTGTTGTATGCGTTGATGTCCAGGTGGAAGTTGTTGATGAAGTTCGAGTTGCTGTCGGCGATGTTGAAGATGTTGATATGGTCATGGTGGCACTTGTGGATGTAGAGGATGTTGTGGGGGAGACACAATACCCATATGTTTGCCCTTGGCACGTGGTTTGGTTCACGACGAAACACCAGTCTCCTAAAGTGTCATTGTCAGGGTTGCAACAATATCTGGAGCAGGTTATGCCTTGGTAGCTCCACTCTTCTTTGCAGAGACAGCCGTCTGCCGTGTAATTCATCAAGTCCGCTGTGTTGCTGCCAGCGAGCATAGACAGCACAATGTTGCAGAGCAGGTGCGAAGGCTGGAGAAGCCGAGGCAGCATGCACAGGTCTTCTGCGCCATGAGGGCCAGAGCATTACATGTCTGCACTGGGACCGAAGGCAAAAGCTTCATAAGAGGCCAAGAGTACAGCATTGGACTGTGTCTAGCATTGACTGCACCGCACATAAATTGTGACAACTTCTCGGGGCATTGCGTGAACGTGTAGAGCATCACGGCGCTTGAGCCACTCCATGCCTTGCGTGTAGCAGTTGCAACCATCTCCCACACTTACACCGGAGTGCCAGCACGTATCTGCTTGCTGGAGCGGTAAGCAGCATTTGCTCGTGGAGGTCTAACTCTGAGCCCATGAAGCAATGGCAAGCCAAAGTGCCTGGGCCGATGAGGCCTGACCACGGGGTGCCTGAGCCAACCAGGTCAGATGGTCGCCCACTTACAGATTAAAGCTTTACGCATTCTACACACTACACTGTCTACACATCACTGCACACTGTACCAGTAACATGGGCAATCTGCTGGGTCCGCATGTGTTTTTCTGCCCATGCTGGGAGCCCCACCATGTCCAGAGTCTTTGCTTCAGCCTGTTCACACATCGGCTGCAAAGGAGCTTCCCGATCTTCCTGCTAGTCATTTGCGCACGGCAGCATGCGCATTCACGCTTGGACAGCATCCAATTCCAAATTGCAGTCTAGACTCTGATGTTGCCGTGGCCGCAAGGAAAAGCTTCGAGTCAGGCTGTTCCACCCGGTCAGAAATTTGCAGTTCAGGCTGGTCCTGTCCTGGCAGGAGCAACCCACCCAAGACTCACCAAGTCTAAACCTCTGTGCCGCCATCTTGCTTTGCATGGCATGGCTACTGCACATTTCAACTCATCCATTGGCTTGCTAGCAGGCTATCCAGCATCGGTCTCACAACTTGCGAGTCGCACGACGTGCTGTCAGGTCTGACGGGACAGCGGCAATTGCCAGCAAGGGAGAGAGAGAAAGAGAGAGGGAGAGACAGACAGCGAGAGAGAGATCAAAGGAAAGTCTTAGGCGCGGTCCTTCTACCTCCACAATCTCCTCCTCCTCAGCTAACTCCTCCTCGTCACTCTCCTCCTCATCGACTTCCAGCACTGCTGTCAGGTTACGAACCTCAACAGGACAGCCAGGGAATCCAAGTCGGCATCTTTAGCTCGAATCTTGAGAAGAGTCACCCGCATTTTGGAGACAGCTTCACGCAATTACTCCGGCAGTTCTTTTAGAATATGAGGCTGAACTGCGGAGAGCCGAACAAGAGGTAGCAGTTATTACTGTATGGGGCCGCGAGCATCCAGTCAGCATTCTGAGGCCGTGCTTTCTGGTGAGTGTGGACTCGGGGCGATTATCACCAAACCTCGCCTTCGCCTTGGCCTTTGCCTTCCGGTGCTTTGGCGCTTGCTCCGTCGACGTCCACGCCTCGCCACAATGGCGGCGAGGCCTCTATCAGACAAGCTGCCAAGTTGCAGGTGCAAGCAGGCTTTGCCAACACCAACACTTGCACGGCATCGTGGGGCAGCATTCTTGCTTGCAGAAGCTGAGAAAAAGGTTCTAGCTGTTCCAATTCCGTGCTTTCAAATCGAATCTTCAGGACAAATCTTCCATTCCTAGTTACGAAGAGTCTCTGCAGTCTACTCCTAGAGGTTGTTGCCTGAGAATGCCTCCAGAGCTGCAAGAGGCAACTGCGTCAGCAATCGGTTCTCTGAATGTGGCCAAGACGTGTAGTTCTCAGAAACAGAAGAGAACTGCAAACCGAGTTGACAATCATATGAATCGTATGACTATGCTTGCAAGGCTCACTGCGTCAGAGACTTCACCCCCTGTTTGTGAGTCGTTGTTGTGCTTGTCATGCGCTGCTTTTCCCTTGCCTGGCTGGGGTTTTCTATGCATAGCCTGGCATAGCCCTTAGCCGCTAAGCCCTTACAAACATGAGGCAACAGGCCCATCATTTCGCAGCACCGCTACATGAATGCTGCTGCCTGCTTCGGACAGGCATATTCGCAACAAACAGCCGTTTGCAAGATCCAAGAGGTGTTTGCCTCGACGGGCCACGCGGGAAGGGAAAAGCCCCGCCGGCGGGTACTTTGCCCGCGCCTACCAGACACCAAGCGAGGAGCTAACTTAAGGGCTCACGGGGGCTATCTTATCTCAGGCTTGCCTACTAGCAGAAGATCTGATATTGCCTGCGTCGTGTAGGGCTTGAATTTCTCCACAGATACCTACCTCACCTAGCTCAGGGGCAGCACTCCTACTGACCACTGTCGCCAGCAACGCAGGCCTTGGATGGGTGCCATCAGGGGCACGAGGCCTTCCTGTAGAGTTTGCACTTCCTCCACGCCAGCACAATGCTTCGCTCGTCAAACAAATGCAAAAAAGGTGTTCAACTCATTGACGGCGAGTCTTATGAAGAAGTTCAGTGGTAAGCCCTAGCTTGCCATGACCTCATGGCAGCCTCCAGATGACCAGTGCGCACAAGACAATTCACTGAGGCAAACAGCTCAGGCAGGCATTGGCCTCCACCACCTCCACTGCATCAGAAGCATTGGCTTCGTCGCTTGGCTTTTGAGATTCTTCCGGAATGCTTGGCCTGCACTGCTCCTCGACCTGAATGAAGAATTCAACATGTTTGCTCCCATCATCTGCGCAAAAACTGAACAAATGAGTCCAAAAACTATCCTATAGTCTCAGTTTCCATTTTGTTGTCTATCTTATTTTCCATTATTGGGTGTTTCCATTTTCTTTTCCATTATCCCAATAGAATCCAGAAGCCATCCAGCTGCAAATCAAGAGGTCAAGAAGTCCAAGCTGCTAGTGGTGTTTCCTGCTCCTTCTGCGCGGCCATATGTGTTTCCTCGCTTTTGACCACTCCTTCGTCTGCCTGAAAATCAGAAGGACCACCCCAAGCACAGTTGCATCCACTGCCCACATTCTGAATTTAGCCAGATTTTGAAGGACTTGCCGCTACGCCACTTGTGAATCAGTCATACAGCAGGAACAAAGGATCCCCCAGACAAAGTGGCTAAAGTCCAGAGGTGAATAGAACTAAGAACCACAAGAGCATTGCCTTAGTGGATGATGCCCTTTGATGCGAAGACGGTCACAGACAGATCAGGAAAGACAGCAATCAATGTAAACAGCCTCTGCAGTCTGCATCCAAGCAGACCCGAACGGAACCGTGCAAGGAGCTCAAATTGCCCAACTGGGAACGACAAGCCGAGAAGTCAGGTCAACATCCTGCGGAAGGCTTCGCCAAGCCCAGTAGCTAATCGGAAGGGCGATGCAAATCAATCTTTTTGTGCCCGCGCTTCAAGATCAACTTGGCCAGCTAGCAAAAGGGGCCTTACATTACAATACACGTCAGAAGCATGTGGGCAGCTGTTGCGGCTATTGCCTGCGGAATGTTGTTTTTTGAGGGCCGCCCTACCAAGTAGCGAAGCCCTTTCAAAACACAACACACCGGTCAAGGCCCAAGAGGCATCTGAGGCCCTGGTGCCACTACCCACCACATGTCATATTGAACCCCATGCCTTGGAGTGGCATCGGCTGATGACCACAATCTCTTCCGGCTTTGCTTCTACATTGCCTGCAGGGTTCGCAAACAGCAGAGCCGGATAGAACTGTTGCCTCTCTGCTAGCATCCAAGACCAGGCCCGGCCTCCGAGCAAGCGGCGTCCTCCAGGAAGAAGCAGCAGCAAAAATCCAATGGACGTGCTGATGAAAAAACCTCCAAAGCCTCAACATGCAACCAGCAGATGTTCACAGATGCGCACCGAAACTTTAAGCCTGCACTAATGCTGCTGGAATCTGATGAGACTTGGAAGGCATGCTAGCCAAGATGCTGAACAGGACCAGGTGCTCTTCGCGACTCAGCCGCCCTGAAAGTCCAGCAAAGCGGCCATCGACATCATGGTGCAGGAGCAGCACCACATATGCCTGTCACTTCGGAATTAGCACACACCGGAATGTTTGCATGAACCCTGCGCATCCAAAAATGAGCTGGCAAACCCAGGGCGGCATCACGTCTTGTCCGTTCCACTAATAATGAATCCGGAATGAACCCCCTAATCATCAACACTCCTCCCCAGAGAATCCCATCTCCAGGAACTCCCTAAAGACTTTTCAAAGGGCTAAGACTACTTTGAAAGGGGTCCCGGAATACCCAATTCGTGGGAGTTCTGAGGACATGCGGGGCATCCTGTTGAAGGTCTACTTACTTTTGAATAAGACTTTCTACTGAGTTGAATCAGAGTTCAACTGATTTTACTTAGCCTGTAATAAGAAATTCAATTGTTTTTGATTAACCCCCCTACTCTTTGCAAGAAAACCCCCTCTCATAAAAATGCTCTGGGCGGATTCTAAAGGGGGGGGCATCGTTGATCACTAGGGGGAAGGGATTGATTAGATTCTAATTGCACCCCATGCAGCCCCGTCCGCTCGACTGCCCAGGTGCCGAAGCCAAGCTGGCAAGGCTTATAAGGTAGGCCAACGCCACGTGTGTAGCATGAAGTGATGAGAACGCATCTTGGTGCGAGGAAGGCGTCCATTCCTCAGAAGCTACATGCAAATGATGACCCGCCAACTTGGCAGCTAGCTCCACCTGAGCCTGCAGACACTTCAGGTTTTCACATAGTTTAAATGATCTAAGACCCACTCCGGCCCAAAAGGCAGACTTGGAAATTCTAACCTCTCCTCTTAATTTGGGAATATCAGGCAGCCACTACCCTGACTCCTCTAGCAACGGATGCCATGAGAATGCTGGGGCATGGAATCTAAGGACTAGTTTACATGAAACAACAGGGGTTTGATTACAGGCTGGACCCCGAAAAACTTAGAACAAGCCGAAGACATTGTGTGGACTGGACGCGAGCCCTTGCCCTTGCTTTAAGCTCCCGGCCCCGTGAGTTTGCACTGTCCATGCCAGCAAAGCACAAGTTGAAGCCGAAAATGTCAACGCAGCCACCGTTGTCAAGACTTGGACGAGGAAAATGGGCGACAAACTTGTCAAGCCGAAATACCTCATGCCAACATGTTCAGACAGCCGTGCTTGCCTGCCACACGAAGCCGGTTAATAATCAGCGGAAAAGCCCTTCCACTCATTAGGCCTACATGAACGTATGATTTCCAAGCTGCACAAACACGAGGCTCACCGCCAGCAAGGCCCGAAGTAGACTCGGCAGGAGAAAGCCTTGTCACAACGCAGAGCTATTCGTTAACTAGGCCAAACTGATTGATGCACACTGAAAGCCTTGGTCTGGTCGGCGGCCAAGGAACTGGCGCCCCATTTGCCAGGACGTGCAAAGCCAATACCGACAGCAACAAGCACAACAACACCACCTGCCAGTCGCGCCGCGCACTGTGACACATTGAATTCCAGGCTGGATGATGACTCGGCTTATACCTGCAGCCTGCAGTATTTGCACCGTTTTCGGCCACCGGTCTCCCGTAAGACACGCACAGGGCCCTTGTCGAAAAACATCGAATGGAAAGGAGTAAGCCCGTTCCTTTTGAATTATGAATGTGGCAATCTAGCCGTTCAACCACATGACTTTCTGCCTTCATTCCTGCTTCTCCAAACAGACAAACAAGCCATGTGCCTGCACAAAGGCCTGCAACATCGCACCGGACCGTCGTCTCCTGTTGCTCTCCGGCTGCTTGTTCTCTGGACACAAAGCTAACAGTGCTCAGAAGCCATCTGCCGCTGTGCTACATGAGTCTCATCATGCGGACTGCCGTGCAAAAGCAGCCAAGCAGTTGGACTGTCAATACTGCCTCGGCCCCTGCGCAAGACGATTCAGTATCAACTTGAGTTCTTGGACGTCACCATGATAGTTCATTAGCAGTGGCTTGTGTGAACAACCTACTTTTGTCACAGGCACCAATGTTTTGGATGCATGTGCGCCTGACTGTGGCCAACAAGTAGTAAGAATACCAGCGCTAATAGCGTTGCGGATGCCGCCAACACCACTGGCCTCAGCATGCATGCAAGTCACAATGTCAGTGCTGGAACAGTGACAGTCTGTGCTCAATGCCTTGCTTCAGACAAGCAAGGGACCCAGGCCAGAAGAGAAATTGGCATGCATTGGGTTGAGGATGCGGTTGCAAGTCAGTTTTATACACCTTGTAGTTCTGCTAGATGGGCACAGATGAACAAAGATTAGATTGGATTAGATGGCAGTGTGCAACTGTATTCAACTCAAGTCGGGGCTCTGAGGCCCATCCAAGGCGAAATGAAGGCCCTCGACTGTGATATCGTGATATTACGAGATCTCAGCACGCCCCTGGATTCTCAGGCATCAACCACCAATCAAAGCCGCATCGAGCCTGTCAGAGTTCAAAACTCTCTACGGAGAGCGGTGAGCGCTGTGGTTGTTGTTGTTGGTGGCGGCGGCGGTGGTGTCCACTTTCTTGCTGCCGCTGCTGCCGCCGCCGCCGCCGCCGCCGCCGCTGCTGCTGCTGCTGTTGCTGCCGCAGAGGCTGCCACCGCTGCTCTGCCGGAGGTGCTATTGTTGGCGCTGGCTGCGGGATGGCGGCAGGGTGCCGCAACGATACATGGTGCTTGTTCGTGTGGTTGGTCTGTTTGTTGCTTGTCGTTGCCAGCTGCAGTTGCTGTAGTAGTTGTCCTTGTTGTGGCCACTGTTGCGGCTAACATGATGCTTTGGCGATATGGTTCTGCCAGCATCGGACTCAGCATCGTCACTCTCAAAACAACACTGCAAAATGCCGCAGCGTTGTGCCTGGCTGTCACCCATGGCTCATTCTGGTCCATTGCGGCACAAACCAATTATTGGCGGCAGAGTTCTACAGTCCTCAATGCAATGCCATTGTTGCAAATGGTGCTGTATGTGTAAAGTTTGTTGCGCGTACTGTACGCAGCTTTGAATACTGGTCGATTAGTTATGGGCCTTGCGCCAATGTATGAGCGAAGCATGTGTGTGCTACTCCTAGCGCCTGGTCTTAACCTACCTGTTCTTTCCATTTCTTCCCCAAACAACCAAACAGCTGCATGCAGCATCGGGGGTGCGACTGCTCCGTTAAGCAATCTGGAATTGCCTCATATCCCAAACCTGCAAAGCAAAAGAAACAGGAATTCACATATTGAGCAAATTTACTTCCAAGGAGCCCTGGAGCACGTCGTCTTTTGACTATGGAACCATCCTCACCCTTTTTGAAGGGCTCTTGAAGTGATCTGAACGCAGCTGTGCTTTGCTGCGTTGTGCTGACATCTTTTGTCAAGGATGCATGCAGTGCTCGCGCGGACACCCTCCTGATCCAGCTCTGCGCTGGCATGCATTGCCTTGTATGGTTCCATGCTTTACCTTACTTAGCAGTCTGCTCTTCAAGCATCAACCGTTGTTCGTCTGCTCGTTGTTCCAACTCCTCCACCACATCCTGAGCATGGCAGCATGGCAAGCAGCACGAAGTCTCGCAGTTCCCAGGCTTGGTGCCTGCACGCTGTCCAGGGCTTGCAGAGCTGAGCTCCTGCCAGGAGCTCCCAATTGATAGTAAGAAGTCCACAAGGTGCTGGGACCTGCGATGGAGAATGAAGAAGTGCTGCAGCGCGGCAGTAGTCACCGGGCCTTTGGTGATCCAGCACATACTCACTTTTTTTCCTGCTGGCAAGAGCGCGAGAAGTGTAGCGTGGCTCAAGCAGTGAAGGAACTGTTGGCATCTTGCTCTTTGTAGGCTGTCCAGGAGGAAGTACTTTACATGCATACAAAGTAACTGGCCGTATTGGGCCCAATCACGCCACGTTCAGTGAATGAAAGATGGCCAAATGACAGGCTTGCACTGACCGCAACGCAAGACCTGGCCAGACGCAAGAGAGCGTACGTCAAGCTTTTCGCCACGTGCCAAGTACGGAGGTGAAGATTTGACGCTGAAAACAGATGATGACAGCAGTAATCTCAACAGAATTTATTGTCCAGACGTTGCTTCTGAAGATATAGGGAAAAATGATCATGCGGACCACGAGGCGGCCAGCCAGGCGTTGCCGCAGGCTGCGGACGAAGTCTTGGCACATCTGCTCTGTGCTGGGGTAGAAGCGCCCAAACCTCGGTCAGACACTTTCGCAAGGCACAGGGCTACCTTCGAAACCGCGCACGGTGTCCTTCTAAGTATGAGACATGCCAGCAATCTGGGCATCTGAGGCATGGGAAAACTCCACATGCACGTCTGCTCTTCCGTTTCGGATGAGTGCTGGGTTCAGTCGATCACGATGATTCGTTGTCAGCACGAAAATCTGGCCTGAGCGCAGACACATCCCCCAGCCGCATTGTCAAGAACATAATAACGATAAGCCTGAAACCAGGTGCAGGCAGATGCACGCGTTCAAATCATGGGGGTTGAAACATGGCGCTTGCTAGACAACAAAATCTTAGCAAAGCCACCATCGGCTTTGCCGACGCCATCAAGGGCATTCAAAAGGCCTTCAGGTGCTGCTGCCATGGACAGTGGACAAGTGCAAAACATACCTCCCCAAGCCCAAACCACACCAATGATTCCCTGAAACAATTCTCAAAACCTGTCCTGAAAAGGTCAGGACGGAGTCAGTGAGAAGCTTCTCACGATCACGCCCGAAAATTGCATCGATGTCCTCGAAAACTAGAAGCCTCAGTGCTTGCGCTCAGAAGGGGTTCTGCAGATGCCAGAGGGCACCTTGACCGTTACAGTGAAGCAGCGAATGGCGCGGCGCTTGGTTCATGGCCGCGCGAAGAGATTCGTCTGTGAGGTTTGGATGCGTAAGGTGCACGTAACCTGGCAAAAGCAACCAGCTTAGCAGGGCACCAAGACTGGTAGAATGCCGAGGGTCCGGCACAAATTGTGCTGAAAATGACCAGCTACAGCGTTTATCAACCTCGTCTGGCCGCTAGAAGATTTTGAAAATGAATAGAAGATTTGGCAGACGAAGATGATGTCGGCCTGTTGTTCCAAATTTTCCACCATGCACTACGCGGAACAACCCATCCAAATGCAAGTAAAGCTCGAGGTCTTGCCAGAGCCAGGGACTCCATAAAACAAATATCCGCGTTTGTGCTGAATTCCATGTTCCTCCAATCGAACATTAATGATGGTGCGCAGGCACTGAAACATCACTGGCGAGCTGGCCATCCTTGTACCACTTGTGCGTTTCTGGCGCCAAGAACTCCTCCAGGTCAGACAGGAGTTTCTCTTTGACTCCTCCAGGCGCCCATTCGCAAGAAACACAAAATGGCAGGACCCAGCGTGCATGCGTGCCTGTGTCCAGGATGATGGAAGCCATCGGCCGAGCGGGACACACTACCCGCGCCTGCCAGTACTGTTGCGTAGGGTGCCTCAGGCTGCAAGCACCTCCTGAGAGAACATGATTGTACCCGGTTAACTCAGAGGGTCGTGAGAGGTGGGAAGACAGGTTTGGATTGCGAGGGGCAGTGGGGGAGGCGGATGGGGGTGTAGTGAAACGTTTTTTGTTGGACTATTCAGCCAAACTCCAAACACCCTTCCCAGCCCTTCCCTCAGAAGAATCTGAACAGACATGGTTAAGAATTAGGGCCCATAAAAAACAGACATCCTCAGAAGCCAGAAGTTTCTGAACCTCGGACTTAACAACTGCAGCAATCATGACCAGCTACATAGGCACGGTATAGTTAGGCGTGACGTGACATAGCGCAAGCTGCAGGCAATGTGCGATGCAACCAAGGCGCCATTCAAACACGTTGACAAATCCTGCCTGCCATGCAATCACAAAACGAAAAACCAAAAAAAAATAATGGCCACATGTGTCTACCACACATTGGAACACTACCTAAATATCACGCGTGGTAACACTGATTAATCAGCTCCTGGCAAAAGCCATCACCCAGGCAGCACAGCCAAGCGAACTTTGCAACATCCAAGCACCACCTGCTCAGCTAGCCTAGCAACGCGCAGCAGCCTGCCTGCACTCGCTCGCTCTCCTGCACCAGTTCTTGGCAAAACTGCGCCAGGGCCTGATGCAAGGGGCTCCAATCAGGCAAGGACTTGCCATGCCATGCCGCTTAGCAGTTGATTGTCTTGAAATTACATGTTACCTCCGCATTGTCGCTCTTTGCGAAGAGGACCTGCGATCGGAAACCGCAAGGCCAGCGCCACAAGTTCGCTTGCAGCTCTGGCATCGGGTGCAATCAACATGTTGCCACGGTGCCAAGTTTGTGAAAATGTCCACGGAATTGCCAGCACCAACAGGGGCGCCGAACATCTGATGAAGAGCATGTAGGCTTTGGCCCCTCCATTCGAAATCGAAAAAACCCAATCCAATCGTTGTCCTGAGTGACGTCATGGGGCTCCATCACACCCGACACTGCCATAATGCGACCATGGAACGGCGACGTTTCGGTGACGGACAAGTCCTCCTCTTCCACACTGCCAGACAGCAGCTCCGGACTGTATCGGAAGGATTGGACCTCAGGTTGAACACCGGCAGACCCTACACAGCGCAGGCACTGTGCACCTTTCCCGGGCATAATTACCCACATTGTGCAGTTGAATTGGGGGAAGGCTTGGCAGACGTCTTGAATTTTCAAAGGTGCCACAACCGTGAGGGAACTAATCTCAAAGAGAAATCTCGGAGCGCTCAAGGCCCCAAGCAACACCAAAATCAGCCCGCAGTTTAGAGCCAACACCCTCCCTTCTTTCTGATTGTAACAATTGTAATTGACAAATTGCAGGATTCATGCAAGCTAATCCGTACACAAAGCGGGTACGGAAAACGTTCGCCTATACCTCATGCATACTGCCAGGATTTTTTTGCACCGTTGCTGAGCTTGGCGTGAGAAGTCTGCTCGACAACGCCGGCAGCGCGTCGTTCAAAATTGAAACATCCTCAAAGCAGATGCCAACCGTGTCATCAAGGCTTGGGATGTCTGCATTTTCGAACAATCAAATACTACGATGTGAAGTACGGTTCCACAACAGGTAGAAATAACATTTGGAAAATGCAGGTTCGGCAACAAACCATTGCGGGGATGAAGCCAAACCAAACATTCTAGAAAGGATTGAGGCAGAACCAACAACAAAGTAAAAATCGTCACTGTGCAAACATACTGGTGGCACTGTAAGGGAAAAATGACAAACAGAAAATGTCAACAGGATGGCAACCGCCATTTCAAAAGCAACCGCTAGTCCACCACGTGCATTGCGGACTGACCTACCTGGCCGCCATGACCATTGAAACCAGCACGGCCAAGAAAAGCTGAGGCACCCACATCCTTCTGTTTGCCGATGTATCCACAAGCCAACGTGTACACCCGGGTCTTCTGACGCAGTTCCAGAAAAACATGTTGCGAAATATCCTGCGGCGAGCATGAAAAACGTGCTGGCATGGAATATTCACCGTGTATAAGTAGCCACCCATGACATGCATACTGTCCAAGAACTGTTCCACTTCGGCAACATCAAACGGCGATTGCCTCAGGACATCGGGCATTAAGCTCTCACTCACCTACATGCCAGGTGAAACGAAATCTGGGTCTTCGCAAGCTGAAACGAAAAAATCCAATGACTCTGCCCATGATTTCACTCATTCCCTGCAGGGACCCCCTTGGTTCAATGCGTTTTTCTTTGCTGCTCAAATACCCACTGGTCATATTCCACATCAAGCAGATGAAAACAAAAAATACATACATCAACTCGTCCGATGCCAAGCTGCCAAAAGTGACCTTGAAGCGTTTTTAGTCGCATGAAAGCCCGTGGTGCATTGGAAGCCATCGACGCCATGGCGCGCAGCACGTTTGAAATGTGCAGTTTACTTCATTCAAATTATGACACCTCGACGCGTCGAGGACACGCGCTGCATGTTAGCAAAACGAGGTCACCAAGCATGTTTGAGGAGGCACCGTGCAAAAATAAACCATCAGTCATGCCCCTGAGTTGCACGCGATACCTTTCTTTGCACAAGGCCTCCCAAACTGCCACAACGGCAAACAGGCTGTGTGATATCCTTTTTGAAAGCAAATGCCCGGAGGTGCACTACACAACCTTGTGGTTTCGTGCTCTTATACTGGTAGGACCATCATTTGCAAATGTCGATCCCACAATTTTTTGTCGAAGCCGGTAGTGTTGTTGAAGATTCGGAAACATTTTCCGTTTCCTTTGCGAATCCTATGACATGTAATGGTATCCATGACTAAGCAGCCATGCAACGCAGCCAGGGTCTCGAGGTCCAAGGAAGGCTTGCAGCAAGGAATTGTGGTGGCCCGAATGTTTGCGCACTTGGTTCAAACACGTTAAGCATTAATGGATTGCTTTGTTCCTCAACCCCCACCCCACCCCACCCTTTTTTTTCTCCTTCGCGCACCTTTTTGCATCTGTCACACACGGTCCCGGTGACGGCTGTTACGGCGGGGCCATGCACCTTCCAACAGACCTGCGGCACGGCGCCATCACCTAGGAGATTCTACGGGGCAGCGGCCTTCCCACTTTGGCATCAGCGAGCAGGTTCATGCAGCAAGGGCGGCTCCCCGTCAGCGTGGCACTCCCCAGCAAGCGCAGCTCGAGGAGCGATCTGGCGTAGGCTTGCTGAGCAGCTAATTGTCGAGAGTCTGACAGCAGAAGCGGCGAAACTGTTGAAAGCGCCAGCCTAAAACCACCCGCAATCAATGAACAATCGTTGGATTCGATTTCCTTTAAACAATTCGGAATCTGCCAAGGGGGCGGGATCTTGTCAACGTGGCGGCAGCCGAGGCAAGAAGCCGGTGGCTGGAAGAAGGACACTTGGCAAGCGAAAGGCCTGTTCGACGCAGGTGTGTCCGCAACTTCCGTGTGAGCAGTGCAAGCGAAAGGGCTTGCTCCGGGACAAGCGGCTGAAGGGTCACAGGTCACGGCCTGGTTCCTGCCTATGCACTGCTGCTGGCGGCGCGCAATCCTGGAAAGCATTTCATTTTTTTCTCGGACTTTTACGCCTGCATGACGAGTCCTTAAGAAATCCTCGCTACTTGTTACGTTGCCACCTACCTACGCGCGGTCCTGTTTTAGGGCCGCAGGGGCAATCGGCTGGGCCCTGCGTCCGC